AGGACAGGTGTTTCCCCAGATAATAGTCAGTGAGTACCAGATGTACTTCAGTGAATAAATACAAGAATGACATCAGAAAACTGTCACTGAATGACTAGCGTGGTTACCACAGAGAATGTCAGGGAGCAAGCACCACAGAGATAACTTCCTGTGATGACCAGTGAGTGGGGAAGGCCAAGCTCCCTTCAGATGAGGCCCAAAGAGTGAATGAGTACCAGGGTCCTCAGACAGCTGCCGCTCAGTCAGGACCGGCCTTCCTACAGAAAGAGGACAGTGAGGACAGGTCCACCGTAGACGACGGCCAGTCACTGAGCACCAGGTTTATCACCGAGACCAGGAGCGAGTGAGTGCCAAGGTGACCACAGATACACAGCCAGTGAACGAGTGCCAGGCTTCCCTCGGGTAACTAGTGAGTGAGTACTAGAGTTACTGACACACAGTCAGGCAGAAAGTGCCAGAAAACGGCTATGACGGAGTACCTGACCTAGCTCACATAGTAACCAGTCAGGGAGGACCAGGGTTACCGCACGTTCAGCACACTCCATCCCCCTGTTCCTGGGGTGTCCCTCATCCTACCCTGGCCCTTTGTGTCTGAGGGGTGTCCGGGCAGTGCTCTATCATCCCCCGGCACTGAGCCCCCCCCCTTGTGTCCTGAGTGTCTCCCTGTTTTTTGTTTTTTTGGAGTTTTTTTTATTAATTTTAATGAAGTTTACAGAGATTTAGGATTTCCAGTCATTCACTGTTGCACTTTTCTCCTTGCCCACCCCCTCTCCCGCCAAATCACTCTCCTTGAAAAGAAAAAGTCTTTCATTGTTATACAATCCCTCCCACCAAGTCCACTCCACTATGCAGCTCTCAGTCTGGACTTCTGTAACGACAAGAATACCCATGCATGTGTCCCTTTTAAACAGATCTCTCCCTCATCTGTTTCAATGCAACATTCCTCTCCTCCTTTTTTTGTGTTCCCTCAACCCTGATGTCAGTCCTGTCTTACAACAGTGGCCCTAGGCAATATTTATCCTTTTGTGACTAAGATACTTCACTCAGCATAATGTCCTCCAGGGTCACCCATTTTGAATAATATTGCATGAGTTCCTTGTTTTTCAATGCAGCATAGTATTCCATTGTGTGAGTATACCACAGCTTCTCTATCCATTCATTTGTTGATGGTTGTTTCCAACTCCTTGCTATCGTGAACAAAGCCACAGTAAACATGGGTGTGCATATATCTGCTTGGGTGGCAGTTAATAGTTTCTTTGGGGTAAATTCACAGTAGTGGAATTGTTGGGTCAAATGGTATCTCTATTTCCAAGTTTTTGAGAAAGCGCCATACAGCCTTCCACAGTGGTTGCACCATTTTACACTCCCACCAACAGTGAACAAGGGTTCCAGTTTCTCCACAACCTCGTCAGCATTTGTTGTTTGCTGCTCTGCTAAATTTTGCTATTCTGACTGGGGTGAGATGATCTCTTATAGTTGTTCCCTGTTTTTTCAAGGTTTCAATCCACTCTGTGTGGCTGGGCAACAGCATCACCCCCCTGCGAGAGGAGGAGTGGGACGAGGAGGAGGAGGAGGAGGCTGACGTGCCGCTGCCTTCCTCACCGCCCACATCACCTGTCAACTCCAGGTCCTTCACTTGCCCTTTTAAGATTTTCTGGAGTTTTCTTGGAGGTCATTCACCTTCTGGTTCAGAGGTTGTTTGAAAGCGCTCGTTTTCTCCTCTGCTCTTGCAGGAAGCATCGGGCCGGGGTGGACATCCACTCCTGCTCACAGTTTTTGCTGGAGCTGTACAGCCGCTGGCTCCTGCCGTCCGGCTCGGCCAGGAAGACCCCTGTCATTCTCATCAGCGAGGTGGTGCGATCTGTGAGTGTGCCTGTTCTGATCTCACGCGCACGTCAACACACACAGCCTTGCAGCAGCACAAGGTGTAGACGCAGTGCAGCCAAGTGTGTGTGTGTGTCTCTGTGTGTGTGTGTCTGTGTGTGTGTGTGAGAGAGAGAGAGAGAGAGTGATCGGACCCTCGTCCCCTGCTGGGCCTTTGGAGCGTGTGATCTTCATGGACGCAGCCTGCCTCCTCCTCCTGCAGAGCCAGGGTGGGTCCCCACACAGCCAAGCACCCGCCCACTGGGCCGCCAGGACACCCCGCAGCTGTTTGATGTTGTCTGCTGTCAAGTCCTTTATAACACACAGCGACCCTACAGGCCAGAGGAGCCATGCTCCCGGGGGCCTCCTACGTTACGGCCTTTCCCGAAGCAGACTGCCAGGCCTTTCCTCCTGCACACCCTCTGATAGAGTCAGCTGAGCATCTACCCACAGTGCTACTCAGAAAACCCCTTGCTGTTGAGTCACAGCGCCCGGAGCTGACCCTTCAGTGACTTGTACGGGAGGAAATTTCTTACTCCTGGTCCGTGTCCTCACATCTGGCACCTGGTATGGACAGGACCACAGGCTCCAGGCTCCCTGGTGGGTACTGTCCAGGGTCCATGAGAAGGCCAGGGTCCCGCTGTGCACCAGAGCTGATCTGAAAAGGCTGTCACGCTTGCTACTCTCAGGATTCCATTTCTTTCTTAAAATCATGGAGGACTCCAGAGAACATTTGTGGAAGTTCAAACAGGTGTTGCGGAGTTGTCCGCGGGTGTTCAGAGCTTTCGCTGAGTCGACCGCCAGGCCTTCCTTGCAGGGCATGGCGGGTGGAGTCCAGTCCCCAGCTTGTCCGCTGGCAGCCTGTGGGGCCTGGTTTCTGTCTGTCGGGCTGTCCCTCCTCAGCGTGCCTCTCCCCTTTCTGCCCCAACACCCTGTGTTTGCAGCTCCTTGTGGTCTCAGACTTGTTCACGGAGCGCAACCAGTTCGAGATGATGTATTCGACACTGATGGAGCTCCGGCGGGTGCACCCTTCTGAAGACGAGATCCTGGTGCAGTACTTGGTGCCAGCCACATGCAAAGCTGCTGCTGTCCTGGGCATGGTACAGTCCGGCGTGGGGCCCTGCTGTGCTGGGCATGGTACAGGACGATGTGGGGGTGCAGGGCCCGCTGTACTGGGCACGGTATAGGACGGCGTGGGGACTTGGGCGCTGCTGTCCTGGGCATGGTACAGGCCAGCATGGGGGCGTGGGGCCCCGCTGTCCCGGGCATGGTATAGGCCAGCGTGAGGGTCTGGGTCCCCACTGTCCCAGCCATGATACAGGCCAGCATGGGGGCTTGGGGCCCTGCTGTCCCGGGCATGGTAAAGGCCAGCGTGAGGGTGTGGGTCTCCGCTGTCCCGGGCATGGTACAGGCCAGCGTGAGGGTGTGGGGCCCCGCTGTCCCGGGCATGGTACAGGCCGGCATGGGACCCTGCTGTCTGTCCAAGCCTTTCAGGCCCCTCGCATTGGTGTCTGATGTTGACAGAATGTTCCAGTTGCAGTCCCAGTCGTTTAAGGCCCATCTCAAGCTTTTGTAGCCCATATGAGCTGGCGGGATTGAGGGGCTGGGAGAAGTTTGCCAATGTCATCAAGCCCCAGTCCCCAGAAGCAGTGAGTTGGGGTTGGCCAGGTGCAGGGCTCTTGGCCCTTCGTTATATGACAGCAGCACCTGTAGGAATGGACGGAGAGAATGTGATTGTCCTTCCACCGTGGCATGTCCACAGCCTTGATGGGCAGCTTCTTAGCCACGCCCCAAATCCATTTGCCTGTCTGCCCTCAGCCTCCCCCCTGGGACTGCATCTCCATTCCCACAGAGACCAGACGCCACTCAAGAAGACTCCAGTGGCTCCTAAACTCTTAAGTTTCTTTCCCAACTCTGGTTTGGCAGGATTCAGCCAGTGTAATACTCTCCCCCTCCTACAGACAGACCACCATGGTGTGAGGTGAGGGACATCTACAGACAGACCACCACAGTGCAGGGGGACATCTACAGACAGACCACCACAGTGCAGGGGACACCTACAGACAGACAGACCACCACAGTGCAGGGGACACCTCACGCATGGCATGTCGTGGTCAACCAGCATCACAGTGTGGAAGGAGAGAGCCATAAAGTGAATCCTGCCCATGGCTTAAGTGTCCTCGGCCTGTTGCTAGGCAAGGCTCTTCCTTGAAGTGGACATCATAGTTGGAAATGTGGAGGGACGGTGGAAGGGAGGAGGACCCCTGTGGAGATGGAATGGCACAGTAACTACAGCGAAGGGCTGAGTGTGGCAGATGAGGAGAGGGCCCGAGGCCCACGTCTGTTCTCAGGGCGACCACGAGTCCTAACTGTCCTGCTTTCTCGGCCAGTGAAAGTTGTTCGCACTACCTGGTGCTTAATGAAATGGGCAGCAGTTACCCAGAGAGCACATGCCGTGGGAAAATGGCAAAAAGGAACTTACCCAAAGCGGGTGGCATGAGCCTTCAAGTAGAAATACACGGATCTGCCCAGTGCAGTGAAGCCGGCTGAGCCCTGGGTTGGTGTCAGCATTGGCCGTGGGGCTGCTCAGAATTAGGGGGTGCGCTTGGCTCCCCGCATCCGCTTTGTTCTGGTCAGGTGGCCCCGAAGTCCTGTCCGCGAGGACTCGGGATGGTTCACTCAGCACACACTGCCTGGCTGCCAGGGACAGCCGTCGGGTCATGGGTGACAGTGGCAGAGTTGGAACCTCTCCCAGTTGAGGGTTTTTGTTGTTGAGAGTTGCTAGTTGTTGTGACTTTGTCTCACCCCTACACACTCTGTGACCAGAGCCCCAGGTCACCGCACCCTTTCCCGCTCTCGCTGTGTGGGGGACACACCCCACAGAGCCCCGGTGTCCTCGGGTGGCTGTCCTTCCCGGAGCCCTGCTGGTGCCGGCAGTGGCCCCAGGGCACAGGGACAATAGCGTGCCCACTCTCCTCCTGGGGGGCCTCTCCAGAGCTGTGGGGGGGCGTGCCTGTGCCGAGGCAGCTCAGAGGAAGGGCTCCTTTCATCGTTCTGGGCAGTTCCCACAGGGCCTGAGTGCCATTGTGTGTCTGCCTGAGCCCACACCCCTGCAGGGGCACGTGTCAGCAGGGAGTCACGCAGCTCACAGTAAGAGTGACTGAGACGACCTGCCCAGTGTGTGCGTGCGCCCTCCTTACAGACACCACCGGTGTGGAGATGGTGAGGTTGCTGGCTGTCAGGAAATCCTGTCTACAGGCCGCGAACCCCAGCATCGTGCTGTTAGAAGCGGGGTCTAGAAATGCTGCACAGCCTGTTGGAGGTGGGGGCGGAGGGAGGGAGCATGAGGATGAGGAGAGGACAGCACCAAAGCCCGTGTCCAGCGGGTGTCCAGGCTTATGGAAGGCGGCTGTCCGCCTTTCCCCTGCTGCGCAGTCGGTGGGTGCAGGCTCCCGTGCAGGGCCTGGTGGTCAGGCGGCCTGTGCTCCTCTGAGGACCAGGCGAGGGGGGGTGGCCCTCCTCGTGCACCCACAGACCCCCGTGTGATGAAGTGTGTGCCAAGTGTGTCGGATGTGACACGAGCGCGCCACCTTGTAGGTCACGTTAATATAAACGCATATGACAGGGTAGCAGTTCAGTGACTCAGAACACGGCCAGGACGTGCTGGTCACGTCAGGGGAGATGGGGCACCTCTCCACGGTAACGTCTGGGGAGACCCCCCTGTGACATCCAGGGAAACTGAGCACCACTCCTCAAGTCCTGCCCCTGGGGACACATGAGGGCACACTGCAGTCCCCTGCAGCTGGTGTGACTTCATGTGCAAAGTGTTGTCCAGCCGGGCCTTTCCCTCCCATCACGGAGCTGGACGCCAGCCTCCTGAGGAGAAGCTTGTTTCCTTTCCACCTACACCCGCTGTCCACACGTGGCTGTCCACACAGCGGAGGTGATGGAGGTGCAGTGGACCAGCCCTGAAGTCCACATTCCTCAGCCCAGGGCCCATCTCGGGCAGCATCTCTGAGGGCGGCAGCTGGCCGCTCGGCCCCTGTCCCACTTTCTCATCCCTAGAGCCAGAGTTTAGCCTGACACTTAAGTTCAGGGTTGGTGCAGACAAAGGGCACAGTCCTGTATGGGTCAGGACAGACAGGACCCCATCCCATGCGAGATCAGTGCCCACAGAGGACGCCGTCTGTGTGGGGTCGGTGCCCTCCGAGGACACCGGCCATACAGGGTCAGTGTAGACACTAGGCACTGCCCAGCACAGCTCCATCTGTGCCCTCTCCAGGACAAGGCCGTGGCGGAGCCCGTCAGCCGCCTGCTGGAGAGCGCCCTCCGGAGCAGCCACCTGCCCAGTCGCCTCGGGGCCCTCCACGGCGTGCTCTACGTGCTCGAGTGTGACCTGCTGGACGACACGGCCAAGCAACTCATCCCAGTCGTCAGCGACTACCTGCTGTCCAACCTCAAGGGGATCGCCCAGTGAGTGCCAGGGGTCAGCGTGCCTGCGTGTCTCTACAGTGCCCCTCTGCCGGGTCCAGGGCAGGTGCCCTCCTGCAGCTCTGCCTTGTGTGCACCCATGTCCCCTCCACAGTGTCCCCACGTGTCCCCCTTCCACAGTATCCCCACGTGTCCCCCTCCAGTGTCCCCACGTGTCCCCCCTCCACAGTGTCCCCACGTGTCCCTTCCACAGTGTCCCCACGTGTCCCCTCCACAGTGTCCCCACGTGTCCCCTCCACAGTGTCCCCACGTGTCCCCCTCCATGTGTCCCCACGTGTCCCCTCCAGTGTCCCCTCCACAGTGTCCCCTCCAGTGTCCCCACGTGTCCCCTCCACAGTGTCCCTCCAGTGTCCCCAAGAGTCCCCTCCACAGTGTCCCCATGTGTCCCCTCCAGTGTCCCCACGTGTCCCCCTCCACAGTGTCCCCTCTACAGTGTCCCCACATGTCCCCTCCAGTGTCCCCTCCACAGTGTCCCCTCCAGTGTCCCCACGTGTCCCCTCCAC